TCCCCAATTCGCACATGCTCTTTCAGAATATGGGGTCAAATTTAACCCATGACCTTCACATGACCTTGTAAAAGCATTTCCACACCTATTCTGCAGGGGAATCCTCCGCCACTGGCTTTAGCCAGTTGCAGTCTAGTTATTATTATTTTTTTTTTTGGCAGGAGCTGGTCAAATCGGTGTCAAGTGGATCCTTGCAAATTATGTAGGACCATTACATATTATGACTATGAAAAATGTGTAACAACGCCAATGAAAATTACACAAAAAAATTGCATAAATTCAAGAAAAAATGATATATCGATATAGTCTAATAGAGCTGTTTTTCTAATTTGAGCCGTAGATATATGTGTCTCAGTTTTCTTTTCAAAACGTTTGTGTAATTACCACTAATATTTATTTATCTCCTATAACATGGACATTAAGAAAATTTTCATGCCTCTGGGTGTTCTAATTAAGTCCCACTTTGAAAATACAAATATTTGAAAAGTGAAAATTTCACAAAAAACTTTATTGTATAACTTTCAGAAAAAGAAATGGCACTGTTCGCCCTCTAATATACCAAAATATTTCGAGCCCCGAACCCCACACAAATTGGGAGGGGGGGGGGGGGCTGCTTTGCATTCAGGGACCCCCCCCCTTCAAATAATCCTGGATCCGCCCCTGTGGCAGCAGTGTCCAAAATAATTTTCTTCAACTTTTTTGACCGTCAATTTTTAATAATAAAATGTAAGTATCATCATGACGGATATTCAGAAAATGTGACTAGGAAAGGTCTTCAAGCCTTAAAGTCACACCTAATTGACCTTGAAAATGACAATATTTGAAAAATGAAATTTTCACAAAATCATCCAAACTTGTTTTCCAGCTAAAGCTGTATTTAAGTCCTTTATTACTTTCCTGTAAGTTTGAGAAGAGTTACTGACATGGTTTTCCTTTAATGGTCACTGTCAAAAATTTTGTGTTGCTTACATAAGCTTGTCTTGCATTCTGTTAGAGGTGACAACACAATGAGGTGTCCCTCTAGTGAGAGAATTACTGCAGAGTAGTAGACTGCATTCCCACAGATTTAGATCGATCCATATAAATCGACCTAACTTCCTGGGGGTTCACGCTAAATTGCTGTCAGCTTCCGAGGGTCGAGCGCTCACAAAAGTTAATTACTCCCCCACAGTTTTTAGTAAGTGGGGCAGATATTTAAGTCGGTTAAGCTGACACCAATCTAGTGAGACTCCCCAGGGGGATAGAACGATCTAAATATCTATGGGACTGGTCTTGTAGAAAATGCCAATATGTGCACAAGAGATAATTAACTGTACTGAAATGAATTTATTTCCATTTTTAATAATTTTTTACATAAAACAAAATGATCAATTTACCATTATTTTTTCATGATGAAAATTGTTGAGATTGGATAATATCAACAGAAGATTTTTAAATATTCAATTTGCTCCATTCTGAGAATCTGAACATAGTAAATGATTGAATCTGACAAACTGCAACGATATGTTTTTTTTTCTTCTCTTTTATGTCACTTTATTACACAAAACACGATATATAACAGATTCATCTATATTTTTTCAATATTTTTATATTGTTAAGATGCAGATGATGTCAAAAGAACACTTTTACATTTCTAATTAGTACAATAATGACACTTCATCAAAACTGAACAGATCAAGCTTATTTGGAACTTGAGCTGTATCTTAGTCCTATGAATCAGTCCAAGTTTTAAAGCAAAAAGCGACAGTTTTCAAATTATATCCGTATAAAAATGCTGAAAAAAAAATATTTGCATTGCCACATTGCATTTTGCATTGTTAAACAAAAACAAAAAAGGCAAAAAATGATGAACAAATGTGTTATTTAAAATAATATATAATACAATATAAAATGGGTTGTTTTGTCCAATCATATAATATTACATAACGGTAGGTATCATTATCACCGCAAAACTTAAACTATTTACCATAGGTAAGATGGACATAGAGAACAAGTAACTAGCTAAGGGCCTATAAATTAAGGCCCATGGAAGGTCAAAGTCATATCTTGGAAATGGCAATACTTGCATGTGTAAATTAATATAGAAAGCTGCAGCCCCTAAAGAAAAAGAATTTTATCGGTATATGGTTTTCTATCTTACAAACAAGTACTATTTCTATCTTTGCAAAGCTTCTTATATTTCCCAATACAGATCTTAAGACCATAAAAGTTTATCTGAAGCATATCTAATGTCATAACTAGAGGATCAGAGAGGCGATACCGCCTCCGAATATTGTAATTGGAGTAAGCGCATTCGTATAGGATAGACCCCCACATATACAAAGTAAGGGACACAGCCACCAGTCTTGTGCTTGACAAGCTGTAAAATACAATCAAAAAGAATTTTCAAAATATGCGAAAAATATATATAACTAAAAATGGTACAATCAAAGTTTAGTTCATCGTAAGGTAGGTCACAGGTCAATTTCAAGGTCACAGTAAATTGCCAGTATATAACTTCCTATTCAACTTCAATAGTAACTATGGACCTATCTCTGCTAGTTTTGGAGATAAAAGANATTTACCATAGGTAAGATGGACACTGAGAACAAGTAACTAGCTAAGGGCCTATAAATTAAGGCCCATGGAAGGTCAAAGTCATATCTTGGAAATGGCAATACTTGCATGTGTAAATTAATATAGAAAGCTGCAGCCCCTAAAGAAAAAGAATTTTATCGGTATATGGTTTTCTATCTTACAAACAAGTACTATTTCTATCTTTGCAAAGCTTCTTATATTTCCCAATACAGATCTTAAGACCATAAAAGTTAATCTGAAGCATAGCTTATGTCATAATTCTATTTTAATTATGCATTTTTGTCCTGCAATGTGATAGCAACAAGGTACAAGAAATTTATTGTCTGCACTATTCACGATATAAGGCAGAGGTATCAGAAATAAACACCTTGTAGAAAAGGCATCCATCGCCAAAAATTTTAATTAATATAAACTCTACAACTTACAGACCACTACAATCAACTATAATACGAATGAACATTGTATCGTCTTTGACGTATGCATGTCTGGAATCTTGGAGATGACTAAGAGGACAAAACAGAGGACAACCAGAGGCAATGTTCATCTCAGACGTGGGGCGTTTGAAGCTGGAGCTGGTTGGATCGGGTCTGAAGGCATCCAGCACATGCTCACGGTTGTTCTGGTCGATCATCATGAATGTGACTTTTTGCTGAAATGGCCATCTCAATAGTGAATCATTTTGACCTCTCATGACGACAAAGAATAAGCTGACATGAGAACCCTTTCCCATGCCGTCACCATTTAGGTAGATTCTGCAGCAAAGCTTGTAACCTGTACGGCTTGTATAGAAACAAGGGGAGTACATTGATGTTACACGACCACGAATGGCATCTTCTCTTCGACGGGCAAAATTGTCAATTTTCCATATCATAGTGCCATCAAAATATGCCAATTCCAAGGCCTGGATGCGAAGATCTTGTTCTGCGAGAGCAACATCTTTGAGAGCAATGGCTCTCTCTAAGCTTTTGATGTTGCGTTCCTGGACGTCGATCCTTTCTCTCTCTCTGCGTCTTTCCCTTTCAAAGTTCTCAAGCTGCTTGGAGCATTTTTCTACCTCATTATCCAGAACAGCCATGATCCCTTCAAACGTTGCTACCTTGTTATCAATGACCTGCAAGCTGCTTTTCAACTGATTCAGAGGTGTGCTATTTGGCAGTTGAAGAGAATTTGCCACAGAGTTTCCATCAACACCATCCATTCCTCTCTGCCTTGGTTCAACTGCCGACACCAAACTTGCCTCTCCACCGCCCTCTGCACCAAGCGTGCTGAAAATACTACTACCTATTCCTGAATCCTCCACATGATTTGTATTAAGCCGCTGTACCTTGCATTTCAAGTTGCCAATTTTGTCATCTAGATCATTCATGGATGTGGCCATGAGTCTTAGCTTCTCTTTGATGTCTTCGGGCACTTCCTGTGAACTCTCCCCTTCAGTCACGGTCAGTTCTTCCAACTCCACTCTTAGCTTGTCCAAATGAATGTGTGCACTTTCACATTTGTGCTTATCATACAAATCTTTTTCAATCTGCAAAAAAAAATGATAATTGTTGACACACTTGAAATTTATCCAAACAGAGCAATTTGGGAACATTACTGTTATTCATTATATTTGGTATGCTAAGATGGAGAGAGGAAAAGAGGGTTCAAAACATGCATCTCTTGTAACTATAACCTTTCATTATTTAAAGTGTGCTCCACTATACCCTATTAAAATGGAGCTTCCATATTCTCATTATTAGTAAGTTGTCTTCTGACATTAAACAGAAGATGTAATATCTCATACTTACAGGTTCTGTGCAGCCAAAAGCACACAATTCCAGTGCACTACCACAATTTCCAGATTGCTGCAAGTGTGTGGAAAACTGAAATTTTCAGATTTAAACTTGATTAATTTCTATGTGAACTTCCCTATTTTAATGACAACTAACTTCATTGACAAACAAGGCAGCAAAGCTGTCAAATGTACAGACAAAAACGGAAAATAAAAATGCAGAAAATGGGTCATTTTGTCAATTTTGATGCAATAATAAATAATGCCTATAAAAGCACTGTCAATCAACACTGAATTTTAATCATGCACAACGGGTAACATGGTCAATAACAGGAGCAGATCCAGAGGTATTTTCTGACAGTATTCCAAATTATCTTTGTTGATCCATCCTCCATTTTTGATGGTCTTCCAACAGAAAAAACAGATACCCATCAACGTGAACTTTAAAATCTGACCGTCATCTGAAAGACCCAGAAGACAGCCTCAATCCGCCCCTGCAATAAGATTACTGTTTCAGGACCATGAGAGTTCAAATTCACATAATGAAAATCCCAATATTTTAAAAATGATGACATTGCATAAAATAATATTACATAATGTTTAAAGACATAAAAATCAATGCAACTGCTTATGTGGAAATACAGAAAATGTGAAGAGCTTCAGGTGGATGCATATGGGAGCTGAAAATGCCAGTGTTTGAAAAAAAAATTGAAAAGAAAACACAACAAAAATATTCTAATAAAGTTGCTATTTAAACTTTTAATCTTGCTGTATTAACATGATATGAATAACCCCAATGTGTTTGAGGATAATAAGGCACTGTTATTCATCTATAGCATTAATGTTGGCGTTACACAAATTTTTTCTTTTGTAAACTTATTTGGAATATTAAACAACATTTACCTGCATAATTATCACCAATTCCTAATTATGTGACACAGTTAAGAGAGTTTAACCTATAGGACTTGAATGGGAAATCTCAACATGTGTTTTATGTAATCTTATTTAATGGGCACTTGGAAATTAATAAAGCAAGTGATTTTATAGCTCTGAATTTAGCTTGTGACTACCCCAAGGGACAATTACCACCATCCATAAACAGTAGCCTCATATAGCACTCTATAGAGCTGCATTGCTTCCAAAACAGAAAACAATCACACTGATTTTCCAACACAAACTGCACTTCAGTCTTATGAAACTTTTCAGTAAGTTTGAGTATCATAAGTAACATGGTTTTTCCATAATGGTCATTACACCAGCGATGTCCAAAATAGGGTTTTCTTCAAATTTTATGCAATATAACATAATGACCATCAATTTTTAATTATAGAACTAGAGGATCAGAGAGGCGATACCGCCTCCGAATATTGTACCACCAGCTGGAGCAAGCGCATTTGTATAGACCCCCACATACACAAAATAAGGGGTGCAGCCACCAGTCTTGTGCTTGACAAGCTGTAAAAATGCAATCAACAAGAATTTTCAAAATATGCAAAAAATATATATAACTAAAAATGGTGCAATCAAAGTTAAGTTCATTGTAAGGTAGGTCAAAGGTCAATTTCAAGGTCACAGTAAATTGCCAGTATATGACTTCCTATCCAACTTCAATAGTAACTATGGACCTATCTCTGCCAGTTTTGGAGATAAAAGGGAAGCAAAATTTGCAAAGTTCAGTTCATGGTGAAAAGTAGGTCAAAGGTCAATTTCAAGGTCACAGTAAGATTGCCAGTATATGACTTCCTATTCAACTTCAATAGTAACTATGGACCTATCTCTGCCAGTTTTGGAGATAAAAGGGAAGCAAAATTTGCAAAGTTCAGTTCATGGTGAAAAG